ATCTCTTTAATTATTTTAAGGATTACAACTATCTGCTTTATATTTAATTTTTTCAAAAAAATTTTTTCACATAAATTGCAATTTTGACAAAAAAATATCGCATAACTCAAAAACAAAACAAAATTTCGTTCTGAAAATCCGATCACATTTTTTATATTACTTTAATTTATATTAATTATTATTTTCTGGAGGAAAATGATTAAAAATAAAACCGCTTGGTTCCATACTTTATATTCACCCTGTATACATGATACATTACAAACACGTTAATAAGATTGTTAAGTACACTAAATATACAGATTAAAATTGCTATTAAAATATTCATCAAAGCTATATAAAAGATTATTATCTGCAAACGTCACAAAAGTGACCACTTTTATGACTAAATGACACAGGTAAAAGTTTTACTTTTCAGACATGGAGTAAAAACACTGTTTTTACGCCTAGGCGTTTTTACTTTTACTTGACACTTACTTTGACATTTATCACTGTTGTATCTTTCTTGTCTCTTTCGCTTTTTCAGCATTTTCTGGAGAGGTACAAGGTAGATTATCAGCATTCGACATATTGCACTATAAACTACGCCAATTATTCACCAGTTAAATCAATCAACACTTTCGAAATCTCAACACAAATTCCGAAACTGACGCGTGACGTTTCTTACGATTTTATTGCAAAGCGTCCTGATTATTGAGGTGATTTACTTGATTATTGGTGTGTTGCTCTTTTCGTTCCATCTGAATCGTTTGCAGATAAAATAGTATATGTTATTTGGAGTAAAAGTGAGTTTATGTGGCTCAGCTGAATCCATTTGCCTCACTCCGTTCGGCAAAATGAACGTTCAGCTTCGCCACATAAACAATCACTTTTACTCCTAATAACATAATCTACTACGTATGTTAATAAGTATGATTTTCAGTTTATTTTTGAAAGTGCTAAATTTTTTTGTTCTTATAGTGGTAGGAAGTAAATTATAGAAGTTTATACCTGCATTTTCAGATTTCTTTAGTCTTACTTTTGGTGTCACAAGATCTTGATTGTGGGGTGTGTAATATGTGTGGACTTCGGAAAATGCCACATAGATTCTTAAATAAACCGACAAAATTTTATCCTAAGTAGTATCAAATGAGAACATGCTGGAAAAAATATTTAAAAAATTCTTTGTTTAAACGTTCTTCAAATAAAATTTATTAAAATTATTTTCGAAGTAAAGCGTACGCCACTGATGTGTTAGCACAGGTAGTGGAAACCATGGTATTATGGTGTTGAAAATGTACTTGATCATTGAAACAATTCATAAACGCCGTAAGTGGCACGGATCAAGGGGGTTTTGCCCCTAAAGGATATAAACGTAAAAAGGGTACAGTTTGTCTCCATTTATCCTTAGGAAGCTGTGATAAAATTTTGTCGGTCTATTTAAGAATCACCTTGTATGTAGAAATGTTCTTTTTTATAGAAATTAGTTTCTCGAATATTATCATGGAAAATTGTGTCATGATCTTGTGTTTTAAAAAAGATTTCTACAGCTTATGTCGTGTCTCACAGAGGTTATGGCCCTGATAGCTGCTTTTTGTAGAATAAATAACTTTTGAGGGTGTGTAAATGCTGCTTCGCCCCATATTATAATTCCATAATTTAAAATACTATGGAATAGAGCATAATAAGTTGTCAGGGCAGCTTTTTCGTTTATTGTAGATTTAATTTTTCGTATTGCGTAGTTAGTAGAGGCCAATTTATTACAATTTTTTTCAATATGCCCGTTCCAGGAGAGTTTATTATCTAGATATACCCCTAAAAATTTTACTTTAGTATCATCTGCTTCGGTGTTAAAATTGTGGATTTTTCAGTTTTCTCTTTGTTTAATGCTAATTTATTTGCTGCAAACCAATGTCCTGCTCGTTCTACTATCTCTTTAATTATTTTAAGGATTACAACTATCTGCTTTATATTTAATTTTTTC